CAATTTGGAGAAGTTGCCAATTGAAGTTGGGCCAATTTACATTTCTACCACTTAGTATTAGGGTGTTTTCCTCTTTGCTAGGTTTACAGGTGAAAAATAGTATTACAGGTTTTTTTTTTGTTTGTGTTTTTGTTTTTTAAGAGAGAGAGCACATGACTAGGGGAGGGACAGAGAGAAAGAGAGAGAGAGAGAGAGAGAAAGAGAGAGAGAACCCAAGCAGACTCCACGCTCAGTGCAGAGCCCAACATGGGACTTGATCTCACAAACTGCAAAATCATGACCTAAGCCGAAGTCGGACGCTTAACCGACTGGGCCACCCAGGCGCCCCAAGTCACTTTTTATTATGTTTAAGAGCCGTATGAATTTATGTGAATTGGCTACCTTTTTGTCTCCACACCATTTGTCAGTTACCCCACCATTTTATTTTTATTTTTTTAAGATTTTATTTTTAAGTAATCTCTACACCCAACATGGGACTTGAACTTACAACTCCATGATCAAGAGTTACGTGCTTTACCAATTGAGCCAGCCAAGTGCCCCAGTTAAGTCATCAGTTTAAATCCTACCTTTAATGTATACTAAATTATTTTATGTATTTGGGTTTATGGGTTTTGTGTTTCCAATTGATTAATCTATAGTCATATTGCAGGACTATGTTATTTTTTTAAATGCTTATTTATTTATTTTGAGAGAGAGAGAGAGATAGAGAGCGAGTGAGGGAGAGGCACAGAGAGAGACATAAAGTCCCAAGCAAGCTCCAAGATCCTTGCTATCAGTGCAGAGCTGATGCAAGGCTCAAACTCTTGAACTGTGAGGTCATGACCTGAGCCAAAACTAAGAGTCAGACGCTTAACCAACTGAGCCACCCAGGTGCCCTACTATGTTATTTTCATTGTTGTAGATTCATAATATCTTTTAATATCTAAGAGAGCTGGTATTTTCTCATAACTTATCATTTTCAGCATTTTTTGACTATTATTCTTCAATTTTTCCAGAAACTTTACAATCAGTTTGTCTAGTTTAAAAAATATTTTTTTAGTATATCTAGGGGAACAAAAAAATTCTTGATAAAATTTAGACCAGTAATTTTAAATTAGGTAAAGGTAACTGTTAAAACAACAAGCAAGCAAACAAACAAACAGGGGTAGGTGGGTGGGTCAGTCAATTGAGTCAATTGGGATTGACTCTCTCTCTTGGGATTCTCTCTCTCTCTTCCCCTTTCCCATTTGCACTTGCTCGCTCTCTCTCTCTCTCTCTCTCCCTCTTTCTCAAAAATAAATAAACTTAAAAAATGTGAAAAGATAATCTTCTACCATTTCAAGGGATATAGTTTTAATCTCTCCTTATAAATTGAGGGATATATTTTGGTGGAAGTTTAGAGACCACACTGGAAATACCACCCTACTAGCAATTATCTGGAGAGTTTAGATCGTTCTTAATATACAGAAGATTTCTAAAAATCCTAACTTTGGTAAATAGAACAGAAATCTATCAATAACAATAACCAGTGACTTTTTACTTCTGTTTTCTGAATTACAACCTCCTAGTAAATAAGTAAGCTATGTTGGTGGTGATCTCCCAGCTGACTGCCACAGTACAGGGGAAAGAATACTGAAGTCGGAAGACCTAGGTTTGAATTTTGACTTGACCTTTTACCAGAATCACGGATTTAGGATTTTCTTTATCTGTTCTCACCCTGAAAAAGGAGATGATGAGTTGGTTGTGAAAATTATGTACTGTCTCAATAGGAACTAAACAACATAAACAAGCTGTTTAGTGTATGTTTAATAAATAAATCAATGAATGAGTCAACAGAGGAATGACTAACACCTTTGATATGCAACCAGCAAGGCATGAGTAAGTTTGTTGCACTGGCCCTGACTGATTCTGCACTTTTCCCCTTACCACAGCTGGTGGTATAATTGTAAAAAACCCAGCCAGGCTGGCCATTTCCAGAACTTATATCTAAGATCTTGGATGCAAGAAAAAATTAATTGACCCACACAGCTATCAAACCCCTGACTTTTCCTTCATTAACATAATTTTCTCATCAGCTAGGTTAATCCTGACTGAGAAACTTTTTATTGAAGTATAAATAATTCTCAGTGGTAAACTGACATCATTCACCTCTGGTGCTGAACTCAATTGCTTTCAGGCTGACACTGAATTTCACAACCGCGGACTGGCCCTATAAAGCTTATGAAATATTAATAAGGTGTTTTTTTAAAGAAATTAATACAAAATTTTCATTTTATAGATTTTGGGATAAGGTTTACTTTAACCAGTTTTAGAGGTCTTTTTGGATTTCGCTTTCAAGTGTATTGAATGCTGCTGTATGCCCCTGTTTGGTAATGATAGAGTTCGGACTAGGCAATCACTGCATTTCTTTGGTAAACTTTAGACCCAAATGGAAGATAACTTTCAATGGCAGCCAACAAATGAATCATGTGTATATACTAGAAGACAGTCCAGAAGCTCAGCTTTGGGCCAGAGGGGAAGAAAGACCAACCAAGAAGGCAAGACGGAGAGTACAAGGTCTAACTCCGGCATCGAGTGGCTTCTCAAGGAGACCGGCCAGAGGTTGAAATGTACTACTGAGAGCCGATTCAGGCCTCAGGGGAGGCTGTCACTACTCTTTGGGGGGAGATGAGAATTCAAAGCCGGTGCATGCCTCCTAGAGTGAAAATCTCTAAGCAGTGTTATAAAGACCTTAGAGACAGAGATACCTAGGTTTAATTTCCTAGCTTCCCACCTACTTGTAGCCTTGAGCATGTTACCTTACCTCGATAGCCTCAATTTCCCCAACTGAAAATTTTACTATCTATCTTCCAGTATTGGTGTGAAAGATCAGAAATCACATGCAGAGGACTTGGGACACGGCCTGGCCCTTCATGGGTACTACAGAAATGACCAATGGGGCTGTGCTCCTGTTATTGGAGTTAGGTAGGTCACAACATCTTGGTTATAGGATTAGCTATCTCACAGAAAGCCAGCCAGAGCCTGGGGAAGAGGAGACAGCGGTCAGGCTTCTAGAGGAGAGGACAATCAGGGCCAGTCAGGTTGCCAAGACTCCTAGTGTTTGAGGCAGGTTTATTCTCAAAAGACAAATGGGGCTCAAACCATGTCCTGCAAAAGCAGTTACATATATTGGGATATCTTGGGATTGACTGTGGGAAGAATGCATCTCTATGAACACAGATTTGCCTGGGGTCTCATTGCGCACACAGCACCCCCTCCTAATGTGTATGGTACCCAGAGTAAATGTAAAACATGAGGTCCACATACAATAGAATTAAAACTTGAAATTCAACTCAGAGCTACACATTTCATAAAATATATTCTATCCTTCTACCTTGAAAGTATATTCAGAAGGACCTAGAAGTTCAGACTTGAGTGAAGATTTCTTGGACTCTTTAGGATTCTATCCATACCGGGACAAGATGGCATATCCCCTGGCTTCTGGGCCCCAGCCCATCTCTTCTCACTCCAACTCTGTCTGTCACAGCAAAGCGCGTCACGTGGTCACATGTTGATACCTAGCCCATATACCCAACTGCCTGTCATACCTTCTATAGAGACCTGTCCTTTGGCTACCTCTCCATCCAAACTTAGCAGTGGGGTGCACTCTCAGGTTACATACAGGGAAGAGAACCAGATGGCTCCAGGACACAGGCCTGGGGTTACTTGGGCTGAAAATTCCAGTGTATGGTCTGAGACTTCAGCTAGGCATGGAGACATGGCCATAACCTTGCAGACATCGCCAGAGAAGGGCCAGTGTGGAGCCTGAAGTGTGGGCCAAAGGCAGGGGACTCTCTTGCTAGAGTCGAAGGTTGGCACTAACCACATATATCAGGATTAGAAAAATGAAACTTATTCTAGACTGTACCACCTAGAGGGGATGGAGAATGTGGGGCACTCCCAGGCCTGGCCAGGTTTGGACCAGGAACTCATGGCGCTGCAGAGCCTACAACTGAACTGAGCATTATCTGAAAAGGCAGGGACATCGAGGACTTTTTTCATCCAAAGACTTCATCCCTGGGGCTCTACTAATCCAGTGGTTACCTTCTCTCACATTACTCTCTACAGGACGCATATTTTTAAGACAGGAATAAAAAACAATGATTATGGGCATCTCGATCTGCTTCATCTGAAACCCCACTAAACTTCACTAAAGGGATTTTTAAAAAGACAAACCTTGAAAGACAGGGAGGAAAAGAAAGCAAATGTAGCAACCAAGTTTCGGACCTGGAAATCAGGTGTTCCAGTGGTGAGTCGTCTCTGAGTTAGCTGACACAAGCCAGTCAAACCCTGAACCGGCTGTGGAGAGAGCAGAGAGCCAATGCAACTTGTAGCCAACTATCTTCACGAGGCACAGGAACTGACAGCTCTAGGGGTCTCTGAATCCAGAAATGAACAGTCAAGAGTTTCAAACAAGGAGAAACTTCATGGAGAACTAGGGACAGAGAAGCTGCTAGCAGAACTCGATCAGCGAGAACCTAGCCTTCGTGGAAATTCTCTAAAAGGCACCTCCTTTGGGCAGATAAACTGCCTGAAAGAAGGAACCCTTTCTAGGTAGAAGAAATTAGAAAGGCAAACACAATTACAAAGTAGTTGTGTAGAAGGAATTACAAACAGCCATCCCTTCCAGGGTCTACTTCTTGAGAAAGAGTGCATGGGCTTAATCAGCACCATTTGCCAACCTCCATCTTGCTGCCATCTCACCAGGCAGGTTTGTGCAGTACAAAAACTGCACAGCCTGGGCAAGAAAGTTGAATCCCTGCAACCTGTCCCCAACCCACACTGTCCTTCAACCCAGGTGACTGTCCCCTCCATCCGGGCAAGGACACACCCATCACTCCGTTGACTTCCCCCAGATAGGGTCTTGGAAACTCCCAGAGAGGAGATGCCAATGAGTAACTATTCAACTTACCTTTTCTTGGGGGCCTTCCTCTTAAGGAAGCAAGTTGTACCGTGCTCTGTCTTCTTTGGTTTGTATTTTGTACACCATATGTTTAATTTTGTTATCTGTAAATACCCAAGCATGTGTTTCTTAAAATCAAACCTTCCGGTTACTTCATCATAGCACATTTAATAAATTGAGAAAACTTAACATTGTTGATATGATGCTATTATCTGATACCAATTCCGAATACAATACTTGCTTGTTGTCACAAAAATGCTCTTTAAAAGCTTCTTTTTTTTTTTTTTTTTTTTCTGGATAATGATCCAATCCGGGAGTAGGCATTACATAGGTTTGTAAAAATAAATAGTGTCTTGTTTAGGATATCTCCACTGGTGGTAAAACCATAAAGAAGTTAAAGAGACCATGTAGCACGAAAGTCCATATAGTGGCTGTTCCTGGGAAGCATTGGGTGAGTGGGGAGGGAGGGGCACACAGGTATCTTCTAAGTTACCAAGAATAATTTATTTCACAATCCGCATGGTGCGTTCTCAAATGTTTATCACTATTCTTTAAATGGTACATATTCATTTCATACACTTTCTAAATGAATAGCACATTTCACATTTTGTTTTAAGAGTCTGCTGTAGGTACAGAAGAGCTACACTATCTGGTTAAATCGGCTCCTATTCTCATTTTGATCTTAGAAAATATTTCTTCCTTAAGGGTCAACTTGGTGTCAGGAACGAAGCTTCGTCTTCCTGTGAAATAGCCATGGGCTAAGGTAACTCTGGTTCCACGATTTACTAGTTTGGGACTCTGAGCTTCCTTTCCCTAATGTGAAAAATTAATACGTACTTCAGAGCTTTATGACTTGAAAAGATAAATACGTGTAGTGCCGAGTTAAGATACCTGTTCCATAGTACATTATCCAAAAAGATACATTTCCTCTTTCCACTAGCTACCCTGCCTCAACTCATTGGTGAACTACATAGGATGATTTTCTTTTTAATTGTGTTTCACATTTACTTATTTTGGGGAGAAAGAGACACAGCATGAGTAGGAGAGGAGCAGAGAGAGAGGGAGACCCAGAACTGGAAGCAGGCTCCAGGCTCTGAGCTGTCAGCACAGAGCCTGAAGTGGGGTTGGAACCCACAAACCGCGAGATCATGACCTGAGCTGAAGTCGGATGCTTAACTGACTGAGCCACCCAGGTGCTCCATGATTTTTTTTTTTTTTGTTTACTTTTATTGCCCATTGTTGCATATTTCTCAAATCAAAAACTAACCCCCTAACTTTTGGTTGCTTGGGAAATAAGATTTTTTGATACTGATTTATAGTTCTGATTTCTTTTACTTTATCTTTTCCTGCATTTCGTATTTCATCCACATTCAGAGGATAGAAATTGGTTTCCATCTAAACCCTGATCAGCTGAATAAAAGAATCTCCTGGTCTATATGCAATAGATATTTAATACTGACTCCAGAGTCACCTTCACGATTTTAAACGTCATACTATACTTAAATGTAAAGTGACTTGGGAAGACTTCTCTGTTTTTCTAATTTAGGAAGTAGTTGTGGAAGATTGTAATTATCTGTTCCTTGAAAATCCTGTGGAACTCACTCCTAATGAGGCTATTTGTATGTATTTGCATATGTGTCAACGTATATGTTTAAGTTTTAAAGATTTTTAAAAAATGTTTATTTATTTTGAGAGAGAGAACGCGCGCGCGCGCGCACACACACGCGCGCGCGCACACACACACACACACACACACACACACTTGTGGGGGAGGGGCAGAGAGAGAGAATCTTGATTTTAGCTGTGGTGTCTTTATTATTTAATTAATTTCTACATTTACTATTTCCTTCATTCTTCTTTGTACAAAAATATTCTCTTATTCTTTTTTTTTTTCGTGTTTATTTATTTTGAGAGAGAGAGAGAATGAGAGCAGGAGCAGGGGAGAGGCAGAGAGAGAGGGGGAGAGAGGATTGCAAGCAGGCTTTCCACTATCAGCACAGAGCCCAATGCGGGGTTCAAACCGTAAGATCATGACCCGAGCCAAAATCAAGAGTTGGATGCTTAACCAACTGAGCCACTCAGGTATCCCATACGTTATCTTTTATCCAACTTATTAAGTGGTATCCATAGATCATTAATTTTTGGCATTTATTTTTTCCTAAGTGGGCTGTCTGATATCTTCAGTGGAATAATTTAGAGGTGTCCTCCAAGTTGGATATGCATTTTTTCCCCATCACTAGTCTATTCTAAGAGTATTCAAATTTTCATTTTTATTTATTCTTTTCTCCCTCAAGTTTTCTTTGTGAGATGGACTTTTACATTTCTAAATATATAGGGCTTTTTGAGTAGCCTTCTAGCAACTGATTTTTAACTTAACGTTGTCAGAAAATAAAAATCTGTCTGATAACATTTTTCTGAAATTTGTCGAGACTTGCTTTAATGGCCCGGTGCTTGATCAAATTTCACAAATATTTCCTACATGATTGAGGAAAGTGTTTATTCCTCAATGGTTACATGTTTATAAAATGAAACTTAATTATATTTTTTCTATATTTTTGCCAAGTTTTTCTCCGTTTTACCTACCAGTTGTTAAGGTATGTGTCACAAATTCTCTCAATGTGATCGTAGAATTACAATTATACTGTGTAATTCTCCAATTTTTGTTTTAGATACTTGAGGATACATAATTCATGCAGTTTTTGTGTGCCATAAAAACCTGTCTCATTTCATTGTGTATGACTATGACACTTGGATTTAATTTTCCCATCTTAATTTGCACTTTCCACTCAACCTATTTGTGTATGCTTTTTTTTTCCACATCTTGTGCCTCATTTTTACTTGATGACATTTTTATTACATATTTCTCTCTACTGCTTTGTAAGTATTATCAAGTATCTCTATTATTCTAGGGTTTACCTTAAATCCTCATGCTCTTAGATAACACAGTGCCAAATTAATCAACATATCTTCCTCTGCTTAATCAAAATATCTGAGAATACTTTCACTCAGATGGCTCCCTTTTTATTGTAAATTTTAATACAGATTTTTAGTTCATATATATATGTATATATATACATATATATATATATATATATATATATATATATATTAGAGAAAGGGAGGGTGTGTGAGCAAAGGAGAGGGGCAGGAGAGCATGGAGCCTGATGGGGGCTCAATCCCTTCACCCTGGGATCGTGACCTGAGCCAAAATCAAGAGTTGGATGCTCAGCCAACTGAGCCATCCAGGTGTCTCTTTACCTTATTTTCTAATTTCACATTTAATAGTGACATTTGGCAGCTAGTATAAGAACAGTTAGTTTTTTCCAGTGTTTTCGATTACGTTTATTCGTATGGTTTACCAATTTATTTGTTCATCATTCCATTTGCATCTCTGTCCTTCCTTATGGACTCAGATTTCTTTTCCCTGTAGTTTCCTATGTAACCTACAAATGTTCCCCTGGTGAAAGTCTGTTGATAGCCAACACTCCTTTTTTGCTTGTCCAAAAATGTCTTTATTTCAACTTGTTTGTGAGTGATAGCTAAGGTTTGACTAAATTTTACTTGACAGATCTTTGAAAAGGTAGTGTTTTCTGGCTTCTGTTGTTGTTACTCAACGTCCATTTTCAGTCTAATTGTTATTTCTTTTCTTTTCTTTTTTTCTTAAATCTTTTTAAATGTTTATTTATTTTTGAGAGAGAGAGAGAGAGAGAGAGAGAGAGAGAGACAGAGTGCAAGCAGCAGAGGGCAGACAGAGGGAGACAGAGAATCTGAAGCAGGCTCCAGGCTCTGAGCTGTCAGCCCAGAGCCCGGTGTGGAGCTCGAACTCACAAACCCTGAGATCATGACCTGAGCTGAAGTTGGACGCTTAACCGACTGAGCCACTCAGGCGCCCCTAATCATTATTTCTTTCTGTGTGATCTATTCTTTCTATATAAATTATTTCAAGTATTTCTTTACCTCTGGTGTTTGTTGTGCAGTTGTATTTATCTTGCTTGGAGTTCATTCACCTTCCTGAATTTGAGGATTTGTGTCTTTCATTGATTCTAAAATACTTTCAACTATTATTCCTTGATTATTATTCCTCCTCCATTCTCTCTACTCTTTCAATCTAAATTTTAATTGGATATATGTTAGATTGCATTCTTTTCTCTATCTCTTATCCTTTCTGTCATTTTTCTAGTCCTTTGTTTCTCTGTGTGCATCATTAAGGGTAATTTATTCAGAACGAATCTCAAGTTCACTAATGCCCTTGTTAGCTTTAACCAATTCACTGCTTAAATTTTCCATTGAATTTCTTTACTTTGGTGATTGTATTTTTCTTTACTTTTGTATGTGCTTTTTCTTCCAAATATGCCTATTATTATTTGATGATACTTGCTTATCATTTTTATAATACTTTTGTTTCTTTTTCATTTATTAATTCCAGTTCCCATTTCTGTCAACATTTTGTGCATACATATGCATATATACCTTTCTTTCATAGTTCTAATACCTGAAATTTTAGATGTGTATTACTGATATTTATTGATTCTGCTGACTCTGGTTCATGATGGCTTGTCTCCATTTGTGTTTTTTTAGTTTCTGTTTGTCAATTCTGTTGAAAGGGTTTGATCTAGGGTGGTCTTTGCCATCTTGAGTTGAGGGTTCATATCTCCAGAAAGGATTTCTGTTTGCTTTCCCCAGATGCCTAAGAGCTACTGAAATGGAGGACCTCTTTATTTTTTATTTTTATTTTTTTTTTAATTTTTTTTTCAACGTTTATTTATTTTTGGGACAGAGAGAGACAGAGCATGAACAGGGGAGGGTCAGAGAGAGAGGGAGACACAGAATCGGAAACAGGCCCCAGGCTCTGAGCCATCAGCCCAGAGCCCGACGCGGGGCTCGAACTCACGGACCGCGAGATCGTGACCTGGCTGAAGTCGGACGCTTTAACCGACTGCGCCACCCAGGCGCCCCGAGGACCTCTTTATATTAATGTCTTGGCTTGACTTTTCCCAGATGATGCAGGTAAATAAGGAATTTTCTACTCTTCAGATCCATGACAAAGACAGGGCTAATTTCTTTGTTGCCTGTCTTTGCCAGAAGATTCTTAAGCCTACCCCTT